CTTAGGCATCCTGCCAGTCAACCACAATGCCACTCTGGAAGTGTTTGATTTCGCAGGCTGGAAAACTGAAAAACTACGATGTCCGCCAAAACTGCGCCTCATTGCTAGGCGCCTTCAGCAGCTTCACAGGTGCATCTTTGCCTGAGCCACGGGAGCCATTCTTGCCAAGTGGTCCGCCTTACTCCATTCATGATGCACATGCCTGCAAACTGCGGACCCACAATGGTTTCATGAGCACAGGGCGTGCAAATGAATGACTGCAAACCAACCCCTTCAATGGAAGCTGACTGCCCGAGGCACGCTCGAGGCCGCACTCGGTAAGAAGGTGCTGTCGGATCAATGATGCACAGTCGTTGTAGTACTTCTGGTTGCCCTGTGCCGAAGTTGTTCTGCCATGCTGTGACTCAAACATGCAACTTGCCAGAACCTGCCAGCAGTCAGCCAACACTTAGTCTAGGAAGCCATGCCGAATACGATGAAAGCAAGGCCATGCTTGGGCGGCTACCAAGTTCGCAACGTTGTGGTGGCTGAGGACAAAGTTCTCATGACCCACATCGTGAACACCAGTGCAAGCGCCTGCCTTCACAAAGGACCAGCCGTTGACATCACAAACCTGTGCGTCAGGATTGTCAAATTGCGACGTGAATGTCCGCGAAGCCGGGTGACAAATGATCCAGCAGTAGTGCGCAGGATGTCGAAGCCGCACACGTTCTGCCTAAAAGCCTGCCGGCACAGAAAGGTACAGGATAATGTATATTCCGTGACGCCATTATAGAAGATGTTTGTGATTCTTTCAAATAGAACACGGGCCAAAATTAATTGCGGGAATATCTTCCAGAATAGCGTCGCAACATATACCGCAAGTGACACTGTGAATGCACGGCCATGGCCTTTACAATGAAGGCGGCGATCATCTTTTCCCCGTGGGACAAGACCTGAAATCAAGGCTTCGGAAGAGGAAATGTGACCAAACGCAAGTTGGAAAAACAGCCTCTGTCGAAATTTCGCAAGGACGCACCACCAAGTTGAATTGGCATTTGGCAAACCTGTCGATGCATAAGAGGGAGAAAGGGGAAGGCAGTGCAATGTGCGAATCTGACATGGAACCATGCAAGACAATCGGTAGCTTGTGACGAAGACTTCCTGCTGAGAGCAGGGCAACAGGATATCTGACTTCTTTGCCGTCTTTGGAGCCTCACTCGCTGCCCACATGACACCCCCACCCCTGCAATCCCGACATCAGCATTGAAACCAACAGCATGAAAGACGGTGCCGCTGTTTGGCTTTTTGCCCACCTGAGTCCCTCACGAATCACCCTGCCATCCACCGTGGGCGCTTTGCGTGCCTCTGCGTGCACGTACCCCGCGCCACAGGTGTAGACCTGGCATTGCGGATCTGGTGAGCGCTTTCTGCTTTGCTGGGTTTGTCCTTTCGTTGGCTTCGTGAACGTTTACAACATGTTTTTTTATGTTTCCGCCATTGCTCGCCAATTACTTTGCTAGTTGCCTGCTACCGTGCGGCTGCTGCAAACGTAGATCACCCGCCAATATTCCGATTTGAGACCGCTTGCAAGGCTCTGCTCTGCCATGTCCATGGGAAGCCGTTCCTGCCTTGATGTCCGTTCCTTGCGTCGTCAGGAACGGCTCCTGACGTGGCATGCACGCTCTGAGAGCTCTGCCGCATTCTGCTGCACATCTGGTTTGTTCGGATCGCGGTGTTGATGACTTGTGACGTGGTTGTTTGGCTACACCTGTTTGCTTCATGTTTGAGGACATGCAACTTGAAGCTCGGCCATGTCCAAAGCTGGTGCACCTAACGCCGCATGCATCCCAACTTCCCAAAGCGGCTCATAGATATAGATGCCGTCGCGTCGAATCTGATTCTGGTTCGGGTCGAACTCACCTTAGGCACGCGCATAGTTTCTGCATTGTGCAGCATCGAAGGGTCGTGGCTAAACTCAGCCCAAGCGCCAACAAAAAGGCAAATCAGTATACATGCTCGAGACTTGCAACTTGACTGGTTAAAGCCTGGTAGCTGGACTTGTCTTTGACCTCAGCACAAGCGGCGCACAAGACAGGCCGCTTGCAGCTCGCAGGAACATCCCGACATGCCAAGGCAAGCTCACCAAGTCAACTCGGTTTAGTAATATATTGGCATGGTCTTTCTTTGAGTAGGATTCGGCGCGGCAACTACATCTCGCATGTGCTCGCTCGCTTGGTCTCGCCTTGCGGAAAAGCTTCTTGGCACCGCCGCCAAGGCTTCCCCTGGGAAGTATCAAACGTATGGCCGAAGCTTCGAGTCTGTACCCAGTTTAGTTCCGAAACTGCTGGTGTTTTGTGAAGGATGAGTCCCTCAATGTGTCAAGCTTTTCTAGCTGCTTTTCTGCCAGCAAGTGAGAAACAACATCTTGGTACGCTGATCGCCAGAACTTGCCAAACAAAACCGCTAGCACTGCAACGCCCCCGAAAACACGCTGCTAGCCTCGGAATACCTTCACCTGCATGTTGCAAACGGCCTTTCACGTTGCAAGCCAGTCGGTCCAAAGGGCCAGGCGCTAGCCTCGTAAACTGCTATGCTGGCAGGCCTTCCCTCTCAAATCCTTTGGCACCGATCTGAACTCTCCGAGCCAATCCGGTGGCGTTTTTGTTATCCATTCCGGTGGCCTGGGGCAGGCCACGGCTTGAGGCTGCCCCAGCTTGATGCGCATCACTTAGACCCTGGCGGATAGTAAATCCAGATATCATGACGATTGCCGTCGTCCGGCTTCTCTACCTGAGCTTGAAAAAAAACACACACGGCGTCTTGCTTCCGCAGCAAAGGCTGCCCTATGCGGTATGCAGCTAGTGGTAGCTAACACGCCGGGCCGCAAAGGGCTTCTCAATCTTCTTGCCATTGTAGACCTTGGCAACTAGTGCGCCCTAAACTGTATCCAATGCATGCTCAGCATGGATCATATGGCGATTTGGTGCCTTGCACACCTTTGTGCAACAACATGTCTGGCTTCGCCGTTTGAACCCTCGAAGTTTGAACCTTCTAAACTGCAGTCATCGTGCGATGTAGTTATCATGTTCCTCCAGGATGTTCCTCGGCTGCAGGAAACAACAGCAAGGGGACTGAAGCCTTTCAACCTGAAAGGGCTTGGAGAAAAAAACAGCCAGCAACATCCAGCAACTACTTTTCAGCAGAAAAAAACAACAAAAAACAGGGCCTTCTTCGGGTTTCTTCCGATTCAGCAGCCACTTGCGGGAAGCCGGCCACCCGGCAAGAACCCCTTACCTTGTCCTGGGGCAATCCGTTCAAAAGTTTTTCAGCACAACCTGTCATTCGGTATGTCAATGTATCGTGTGACTTGTCGCTAAAAGAAAGCCGTTAAGAGCCCTGAGTCTTGAGGGTACAGTCTTTGACTTGATGACTTCGCCCAGACATAAGGGCATGCTGCGGCATGCTTCATGGCTAGAACGCCGCTACAGTATTGAGAATGAGACCAATCAAGAACCCATCGTGGCCCCATGTAAAATAGTTCAAGCCAGCCTTCAACCTGACTGCGTGGATAAGAGTGGCCTGCTTCGCTTACCCATCCAAAACTGCTGAATCCGTGCTTGTGGGGCTGACATAAGCTGGCGTGATTTCGTATCCTTACCAGAAACGTGCTGAGGTGAAGCCATAACAATGAAACAACGTGACCGAACCCTTGCCAGCCGCGACTGAGTGAACGAAAGAGAAGGGGACATCATGTGAACGAAAAACCTTAATAACCAAAGGGCATGTCCACCTGTGTCCCCGCTGGTGACTGTGTGTGTCTGAGTTCGCCAGCCTCGTGACACCAACTCGCTTGCCAAAAGATAGCTTCAGCATGAGGTACTGAGGATTTCTTGAGGTGGGAACCACTGTCACCCCATGGCCGGTGCAGGGCTTGCACCCGTTTGAGCAAACACCCAAGGAGACCAAGCCGCAAATCTATCGGACATTTTGATGAAAATACCGGGAGGCCGCTTGGAGGTAAGTTACAGACTACACACAGTACGGCATGCGAAGTATGTGTAATGTCTGAAAATGACAACTCATGGCCGCCCTTGGTGGGAAAGCCTCCCAACTAGACATGCCCCTTTTCCCCGACCATTTGCCGACCAATGCTGAATCGCCAAAGCCATCATTGGCGTGTTTGCCAACGAAACTCTCCTTCACTGCCCCGGATTTCCAGAAACGCCGAGCCGGAAACAGCCGAACATTTCTCTTCAACACTCTAGTTGACAAGCCCATGGAGGGCCCTCCCCCCGGGAGGCCGCCACCCTTAGGTTAGCCCTCCAAGGCCTCTTCCTGAAGGCCCGCCCCATACAACTTGATCAAAGCACCCGGCCCTCCGGCATTCGAGCATGACGGATGCGATTCGACTTTGGTGCCAGTAATGTTGCCATTGGCGAAGCACCCCGCTGGAAAGGTCTGGAGGTTCTGGGAAGCCTAAACTTCTGCGCATTTTTAGCTTCCAAACCGTGAAGGGAATCCTTTGTCGATAAGGGGTAACCAGGCACCTTGACTCAACTAGCCGCCTGCGCGAGCAGTTCAAGCGTCGACCCCAGCGGATGCACCGTAAGGTGGTCAACGATGACGTGGTCGGGGCATGGGATGCACCAGTTCGTCAAGGTTTGGTACCTCGGAATAGAGCAGTTTGCCGATGACAGTCAGCCAGGCAAGGAGAAAGAACCAGTTTGGGTCTGCCTTGAAGTCTCGACTTGACAAAGAACTTCCAGCGCGCCCAGGATGTGTGATTCCACATCAGGGCTGAAACGCACTCGATGCACAAGGCTTAAGACGCCTATCACATGACAAGTTGCACTCTAACTCGGCTCTGCAGGATGAGCTGGGCTTCGATCTCAGTCCGAGCACAGCGCACCATGGGCAGTCTTTGCTTTGGGTTGCACGGTTTTGGACGGCTGGTGTCGCCAATAGTGTTTCCTTACATCAGCGTCCCTCCAATTCGTCATTTTGATTGGTGGTTTGGTGGTAGGGTTTCCCATCTACCCTCTACAAAAGCCAGGCTTCAAAGCCCCAAACCAATGGGAAAACCACCAACTAAGGGTTACCTGATTGTACCAAGCACTGCATCGAATTCTGGCGCTGGCAACTTGGATGCCAATTGTTTTTCCACGAGCCGCATTGTTGATGCACGTCGGGTTCCGAATGCCGCAATACCTCAGATGCCACGAAAACCAAACGAAGACAAAACGATTTTGCGCCTTTCCTGGCCATAGAACTTCTTACATTTTGGCTATGACACTGCGATTTGTCATGCCCAGGCACTGTTGCTTCACACAGCAACAGGACTTGCAGCGTATGTGACTTCTGTGTACTTATGTGCACGGAGATTCAATGCAAACCCGTGGTGCATGACAAACTGCCTGGGTGCAGCAACGCACCTGGATTGGCCAGGACTGACTGCAATGCTTGGTATGTGACATCTTTGCGCGTTGCCAATCTCACAGGAAGGGAGACTATTTCGTAAAAAGGTCTCAGTATCAACACATTCATGCTATTAATGATCCTTTCACATCCGCGAAAGCTGTCTCATCCTGCCCCCCCCCCAAAAAAAACACAACAACAACAACAACAACAACAACAACAACAACAACAACAACAACAACAACAACAACAACAACAACAACAACAACAACAACAACAACAAACAACAACAACAACAACAACAACAACAACAACAACAACAACAACAACAACAACAACAACAACAACAACAACAACAACAACAACAACAACAACAACAACAACAACAACAACAACAACAACAACAACAACAACAACAACAACAACAACAACAACAACAACAACAACAACAACAACAACAACAACAACAACAACAACAACAACAACAACAACAACAACAACAACAACAACAACAACAACAACAACAACAACAACAACAACAACAACAACAACAACAACAACAACAACAACAACAACAACAACAACAACAACAACAACAACAACAACAACAACAACAACAACAACAACAACAACAACAAACAACAACAACAACAACAACAACAACAACAACAACAACAACAACAACAACAACAACAACAACAACAACAACAACAACAACAACAACAACAACAACAACAACAACAACAACAACAACAACAACAACAACAACAACAACAACAACAACAACAAGGTAACGGGCGCGTAACGACCCGCGCGTTTTCGTGCACTTCGCTGAAAAAAACAGCCGCGCCTTTTTTTTTGGCACGCATTGCTTCTCGTGTCACATCCTAATGTCTGCGCAAGCTTTTCCAAGCGCCCGCCAAAGATCTGCCTTGTCATGCGGCGACATGTTTTGCCGCAAGGCAAAGCTCCAGCAATAGGTCCACAATCTCTCGTTCACAGCTGAAACTCCAGAGTCGTCTCGCTCGCGAGCTGCTAGTTCTGCTGGCATGTAGTTGAGGCAAAGAGATTTCCATCTTCTATCCACACACTGAGTGCCACTCAGTTTGCTGAATTGCCTGGGCAGCCCTGAAGGGCCAGTGAACTGGTGGACGTTGTGGTGAACGTTTGAGTGGTGCAGGGGCATCCCACGCACACTCAGGGGCCATGCATGCGCCCCGTCCGAGTGGACGGCTGCGCCACGAGCCAACCTGGAAAGTAAGCCACTGAATTCAATCTCCTCAAGCGACTCCGGAGGTGGTTTGCTCTGCATGGAGGCCACCTTGCCAGGGAGAGGAGATATAATCAACGTCGAAGAAGATCGTTCACATACTCCAAGAAGCCGCACCCAAACTCTGTACACATCCTGGTGACCATGTTTGGCTTTGTGCTTGGCAATCTGATCTGCAAAATTGCGATTGGTGTGTTTCACCACAAAAGACCGTAGACCGGTCGCATCCGCCTCAAGGTCCCCCTGCAGCAACAGCGACTCCTGCCGGAGCTTGGCTGCTTGACATTCAGCCATGCGCAGCGCATCGAGTATATGTCTGGCTTTGGTGTGACCGACGTCCTGAACGTTCGCCACTAGGTCTGTGGCTGACACTGCAGTCAGCCACTTCTGGCGACACACAAAATCCAGAGACTTCGCCAACACCAGGGGTGACAACCTCATGCCTTCCCAGGACGAGCCATGCAGAATGCTAGTGCGATGCCCGCAATGGCTATGCGCACATCTGTAGAAGTAGCTGTCCCCACGGTCTGCGCGTGGACTCCTGAGCAGCGTGGGAATGCTGCAAAGTTCCGCGAAAGCCCAAGTCCCACAAAAAAGCCACACCACATGAGAAGCAAGCGAGACAAAACAGAAGCAAGACACGCAAAAAAAAACATGCCGATATGTCCGAGGCACGCCGCAGCCACTCGATGGTCAGAAGACTTCTCACAGTGCGGCTTGCACAAGAAGCCAGCATTTTGCAGCTCTGCCAATGCATTTGCAGGTGTATCAAGGCAGCGCCCCTCTTGCAAATCCTCGGATTTGCGCATCTTTCTGCGCTTTGCCTTGTAGGCCTCTGCGTCTGCACTGGGTTGCCGCTTGCTGTAGGCAGCACATGCTTTCTCCCGAAACGAAGGGGACTTGGCAGCGGAATTCCTTGTCTTCTTTCTTTGATTCTTTTTCTTAGAACCAACAGCATTCGCTCGGCGATGCTTGAGAAGCTCTTTCGCCCCCGGCATCTTGCAAGCTACCAGAGAATGCACTCCAGCGCAGCATGGACATCGCTTCTCATTCTGGCGCCCGCGATTGCGGGCCGCAGGCTTTTTGCAAATCTTGGGCATGTCTCGAACCAAAATCTTCCAAAGCAAGCGACTGTCCGAAAGAACATGCCAAGACAGCCTGCGCAGTCTCAAGAGCATCAATCGGGCTTCATGCGAAAACAACTGTATGTGCGGCCAACTGACCGCGCTGAGCTCCTATCAAGCAAGCAGAGGGTTTCCTTGACCTGACCTGACTGAAACGGAGGGTTTCCTTGTCTGAACCAAAACCTCAACAGGTCCCATCTCTTTCTTTGGCCAGCGCATGCCAGACCGCGACTGCATACGAGTTCAGGCTAGCTCGGGCTCCGAATGGCAGCACTCGTGCTGGAGCAGCTGCAAAGCCGCATCCGAAAAGAAGGTAAGCAACTCCTCGGTCAGCGCCTCCAACATGCGGCAGCATCTGAATAGGTGTGGCCTGCAAGACCCCCGGGCGACAGGGAAAAAAATGAAGACCAGCAGGGCTCCAACTGTGAAATGCAAATGCAAAAAAAATCTTACGCGTAGAGTAAGCCGAGCCACACGTGGCGCAGAGCATCTGATGCCTGTCCGAGGTGACCTCGCAGCCTGCGAGCTTCCCGCACGCTGTTTGGCCCGTGCGCACGGATCAGCATCTCGGACACGGTCATGACAGGCACTGCTGGGGGAAGTGGTGGCAATGGGGCCTCCTGCAGCAACACATTGTGGAAGTCCGGAGACGCAGCACGGAGGCTGTGGAGGCAATGGATGATGATGGCCAGGCAGATCAGGTGCTCCGAGCCCCAGTGTGCGCACAAGCCAAAGAGCTCCTCTGCGGGTGCCAAAATACTTGCAACGCAGCCATTCAAGATGTGCGCCCGGGTTTCCGCACACCGTGTGCGTTGCAAAGCGCCCGCGAGAGCGGCCAGGTGGGCCTCCAGGAGCACCGGGCTAACCAAATCACTCATGGAAGGATACACTACTCAAAGGACTGTGCGTGAAAATCTGGAAGCCGAAAGTCAGGCTCTCGAAGGCTGCTGGGCAAGTCCACAGAAACAGCCCTGGTTTCCCCGCCAAAAGGGATGCCACCCCGAATAGAAACCATCTTTTTTTGAGGGGGAGAGAAGAAACAGCCCTGGTTTCCCCGCCAAAAGGGATGCCTCCCCGAATAGAAACCTTTTTTTTTGAGGGGGAGAGAAGAAGCAGCCCTGGTTTCCGTGCGTGAAAATCCTCCTGCCGAAAGTCAGGCTCTCGAAGGCTGCTGGGCAAGTCCACAGAAACAGCCCTGGTTTCCCCGCCAAAAGGGATGCCACCCCAAATAGAAACCTTTTTTTAAAAGAAACAGCCCTGGTTTCCCCGCCAAAAGGGATGCCACCCCAAATAGAAACCATCTTTTTTGAGGGGGAGTTTCCCCACCAAACGGGATGCCACCCCGAATCAAAACCTTTATTTTAGGGGGGAAACCGCAAGCATCTAGAAGGCATGCGAATCTGGCTTGCCAAACGTCAGGCTCTCGAAGGCTGCTGAGCAAGTCCACATAAACGGCGCTTGTTTTCCCCACGTGTCAACCCGTCAACCCCACGTGTCTGGAACCAGACCGCCTGAGCCCCCTAGCGGTCTTCACTTCTCAGCCCCCCTGGACAGAGCCATATCCAGAGTGCTGTAGCACTCTTTCAGATGCGGCGGGAGCATATGCAACAAGCCGCGCGGATACTGACAGCTGAACCAACATCTGTCTTTTGGCTCCGCGTGAAACTTAAACCACTTTGAGCACCGCAGCTTGAGGGCACCCGGCTTTTTGCCGCCCATTGCCAAGTGCGGCTGAAGACTGCACGAAGGGTGAATTCTGCATCCCCCGTACTTGTACTTCTTTTGCTTCTCAGAAGAAGCCGGCACGCTGCAGTCCAACAGCTCCTTGAGAAACTCATCCTCTCCGCGCAGGGTCTCCGCCCTGTCCGCGAGCATCCGCGCCCGGTCCGCGCACAAATTCGGCAGGAAGTCGACACCGCCCTCCACATCAGACGCCACATCTGTGAAAAAGTTCTCAGAGTCACTCTGCAGCTCCGAAGCCCCATCCGCAAATGGGCCCACCAGAGATTCGGGACTTCCATCTTCGTCTGAGGAATCCTGAATCGCCACCGTGTAGCCGACTGTCCTGGAACGCATAAACGATTGCAAGCTCAAGAATGCCGCAAGCACCAAACATCACCAAAGACAGAAAAAAAGTTGACTAGCGCCTGGCGCCGAGACGCAGTGCCCTCGGACCGCATTCTGTTTCTTGGGCCACACAAGTCTGATC